CTGGCAAATTGGACCGTCTCGCCGTCCGTGATCCCTTCTGGCCTGATGAAGGGCGCTGCATTGGGAGGGCAGGGGTCAGCCAACGCCAGTGTCCCAATCTCGGCTTGGCTTTGTGACAAGAAGATCACAGGTCGGAAGATGCCGCCAAGCAGCTAGAAGCAGCAGAGCAGCTTGCATGGCTCGCATCGTGGCGGCGGGCCAGCGGAAAAAAGTCTTCAGGTCTTGCGCAAAATGCTGGTCAGCCCGGGAGGTTCCGATAGTTCTGCGAGCTTGTGACCATCTGCAATCCTGTCCTAGAAGTCTCCCGGCCTGGGTACTGCGGAGGTCACGGCTGACGGAGTGCGCCGCCGCCAGCGTCACCAGCCTACGGTTCCGGGCTTTAGGGTTCGAGAGTCTCGGGGCTCTGATCCCAAGATTGTGTTGGCGCATTCTCGCTCGCCGGCTTGGAGGGCCCACCGCAGTTTGAACGTGAGCCTTTTGGGCAAAACTCTGAACATCAAGTCCGGCTGGGTTGCGCGAGTTTAGGGATTCGGAGACCCACGACATGAGATTTCTGGCTTGCCAAGCCGAGACTAGGCTGTACCTAGATCGTAGATGCTTCAGCCGCAACATTTTGGTTTGATAGCCCCATCTTGGCACCCTTCCTGCGCCCAGCAGCCTCAGCAGTTCGGCGGAAACCAAAGCCCTGAACCTGAACAACAAACCCTACACCCACAACCCTGAGCTTCCGACTCTGAACCTAAAGCCCCCAAAGCCTGAAACCCTGAACCTGAATCTTACATAGTAGCCGTTGCACTGATAGGAAGCGGAGTTGCAGACTCAATTGCTAAGAGCTGCAGCATTATTCGCAGATGCCAAGCGCGAATCCTCAATTATGACCCCTGCGGCTAACATGTACGTCTGAGGCTCCAGGACCAGCACATTCGGCACTCGTCGATACATCCGATGCATCTCTGGGCCTCCGGACGCTCCGATCATGATCCTCGGGTCTGCGGGATATTGGCGCAAATCTAAAACAAGTCATCAAGGAAAGACTATAATGCGCACTGCAATACTTAACCGGCAATGCTCCTTGCTCGAATGAAGGCAACATCATCGTCACGGCCCGTGTGCTTAGCTTACACCAACTGCGGTTTTTATCCTGGCGGTCATGCTCGTAGGTCAAGGGAGCAGGGGAGCAGAGGAGCAGGAGGCTCTCGCGCGATGGCAAGTGAGGTTTGTACTGCTGGCGGTGCTCCTGGGCCCTTTCCTTGTCGAAGTGGCAGGCTTGGCTTTCTAGATCGCTGTTTCTTCAGGGTCCTTGCGCGAAGAGCCTCCTGACATGGATCAATGGGGAAACGCTTTTGACCCTGAGCTGGCAGCTCCGAGAGTGAGAAGTGGGTGTTCAAGGCTTACGCGCAGACAGGGCTCAAACCATCCCGATGCTTTGGCCGAGATGCAACTGGGTCAGGAAACTGCCGATCAGCGTGCCCGTGCGTTCCTGCACAGGGGGGTTTTGCTTACGATTTGCTCGAGGGCCGCGAAGTTTCGCGCGACAGCGAGTCTTCGAGGAGTTCGCATGTGTCACCCCAAAACACCCAATGCCCCTCAAGGGGGAAGTGCAGAGAGAACCCTATAACTTTCACCATCCAGGTATATTCGATCTTACTTATGGAAGGGTATCAGGCTCTCTAGGTACTGGTTTGGGGTCTAGGAGTACGTCCTCGGCACAATAATAGGAATTGAACGGATGGCACATGCTCTGCTGAACCTGAAGCTTGGGATTTGAGGGTTCCTCACTTCAACAACCGGACCACAGCCACAAATAGCACACCCCAACATGTTTGTTGTTGAGAGGGAGTCGATATCAGTTTGCTGTGCAGTAACCGCCAATGCACACCGCAAAGGTCCAAAAAGCTAGACGCAAATGCGTCGCGGCCAGAAAGGAGCCACTGCACCAACGAATCGAAACCAAATGAGCAAAGCTGAGCCAGATTCTGTTCAGTAGCACCAGAAAGCATGCTTGGAGTCTAGGTTCATGGGTGCTCTGCGTACTTTCTGCAAGCCCTCTCTGCTGTCATGCCAGGTGTGTGAAGCGCGAAGAACAGCGACATGAGCGAAACGATTTGTGCAAGGCCGCCTCGCTCAGCTCGTGGCCGGTTGTCATCCCTCAGCCACTCCAGGTTCGAAAGGGAGGCTTCCGGCATTTCCAGCCGTGAATTAGAAACGGGCCCCACGTGGAAACTGGAACTGGCTGAAAGGATCTACAAGGTCAGGGGCAGCCGGCATACACCTATCTCCAACCCGGATCACGAATCCATCCTCAAATCCGAGAAAACGTTTTCTGATGTTCTTCGTTCGGGAGCCCGAGTGGAACTCGAACATCCGTGCGCCCAGACACACAAAGGTCCCAAAGAAACGACTCAAGGCAAGGATCTGTAGGGCGTTTTAGGGTAGGGCCACGAAGTACAGGGTTCAGGCGGGCTGAAGGTTGAGGATCCAGAGAACAAGCGCTGCAGCACGTAACAATACCTCAAACAAACGCCTTTGTGGTGGGATATCCAGCGGACCAAGTAATAAATTCGGAAGCAATCTCTTCACAAGGCAGCGGCGGCGAGCGACGACGGCAGACTGCTGGAAGTAAATCATCCAGGGCATGATCACCTGCCAAGTCAATTCTCTGCTTTGTAGGGTTTTGGATCAGCTGCTTTCAGACCTACCGTGCATCAGGCTGCTCCTCTGAACCGATACGGCGATGGGGAACAGAGGGGGCGACGATACTGCAATTGTGGCAGGAGGAAGCATTACAGTTATAGACAGGGCGTGGCCGAAGCGTCTACTTGCGGGCAACGGGCCGAGGGTCTAAGATCTGGCAGGACATGCACCTGAAACCGTGTAAAGCTGGGAGCATACGGTTCTCACATAAGTACGCAAGGACGGCAGCTCCAATGTTGGCAGAGATGAGCTTCAGGTACCTGCTTATTGCGGGAGAATGTTTTCGAATTCGCTCTGCCTTACGCAACATGTGCTTCATCAAGGATCTCGAACACGAAGAACAGGGAGGGTTCCCCTTAACAGGACCAGCGAGTCCACGGGCTGGGGTTCACGTTTAGGCTTCAGGCTGTTCGTGCCTCCTGATCCCGATTTCTAGCATAAATGGCGATCACAAGCATTCCGGCGCTATTACAGCTATATTGGAAAATGGACCCATTTTGCCAACTACAAACAAGTACCTGAATATAGTTAGACTAGCTGCAAAGGAGCTCCATAGTCTCAATAAATCGGGAACACTAGAGAAGCTTAGTGCGAACTGTTCCAACCTGGAGAAGGCCACAATTCCAGCTAACTCCTCAAGCCCGAGCTGAAAGCTGGTAGCAACAACAAAGATGTAGCAACATCACAAGCCGGGCAGGGGCACTCGGGATCTGCGGTTCCCGTGAAGCTGCCCTGGCAGGGCGGGTGGGCAACTGAGGCTCTCAGTCTGAGGTGCCTGGGGTTGAGGGTTTCGTTAGGGTCTTTACAGAGTTCGAGGTCTTCAGGATCACGAACTGGGGACCTGGCATACGGATTTCTGCCCACTCCTTCAGAGGCAGACTTTGACAGAGGTTGTCCTATGAGGCTTCAGCGTTGTAGGCGCCAAAGACCTTCGGCATCGACTCCGTTTTTTCACTCACCCCGCTTTAGTCGAGTCGACTATTCAGCGGGCGCTACATACTAGCACCTGCAGCCATAAAGGCACGCCGGACAACTGCACACCGCATCCCAAGGCGGCGGCCGACTATTGGAGGCGCGAAAAAAAAGCTCTATGCCACGTCCTACTATAAAGCACGCGAAAGTAGGACGTATAAAATGCGAACCGAAGCAATAGTCCCACAGTGCAGGCTTACTCTGTCTACATGCGCTCTGAAGCAGGCTGTACACATCTCAAAGTGCAGCAAGCAGGGGCGTCTGAGAAATCGAAAGGAGTGGCACACCCATGTTTTCGAGGGCCAAAGACTTCAAAAAAGAGGTAGCCGCGGCTGAGACTCCACTGACACTCACGCTTTGGGCGTGGTAACCACGAGCAGGCACATTGGCACTTTGTCCTGCTGACACCTCGCTGTACCGAGTGTTAGCCAAAATGACGGCCGCCAGGGAGGCCATACCTTTCGGTGGACGTGCAATTGCTGGCGGCTCCTGAAGCACTGTGAGTAGAACTGTACACGTTTCCAAGTACAGTTGAATGGCAAGCGGCACCCAACACGGAAGGGCCTGCAGCAACAGGGCCGCCTTGCAGCTCCCGAAAGCAAAGGGCCGATAGACGGCTCCTGAAGCACTGGGAGCAGAACCATGCACGTCCCAAGTGCAGCTGAATGGGCCGGTAGACGGCACCCAACACGCAAAAGCCTGCAGCAAAAAGGGCCGACTTGCGGCTCCCGAAGCTCCAGTGCCAACACAACGGCTCCAGGGGGGGTTCTGCCAAATGTAGCACGAGTCAAAGTGCGAGGAAACCATAACAAAGCTAACCAAATGTGGAATACACGTAGTCCTGAAATTGGATCGCAAATCACCAGCACAGAGGAAGGCCCCCGATTTCATGCCTGGGAGGGGCATGCCCATTTTCAAGTGTAGACTGAGACAAAGCACAAATAACTGACATCATCCCCATATAGACGCTGTTGTAGACCAAGGGGCTACGACCCCTGCACTGAGTGCCACCTGCTGGCGCCTGGCGCGGCGCGTTGGTCCAAAAGTTTGCCGCCAAAGAGACCGGTTCGCAAAACAGCACCTGTAGTTGTTGGCAACCTTCTGAAAAGTTCCTGTTGACAGAGAGGCATTGGTAAGGGGCCGAAAAACGGCACACCAAACAGAAAGCACGTGTGCAGGACTTGCTATCCTGTGCAGTCGTCCGGTGGGGGTTTGCGCCACCCGCCGTCTTCCCACCATGGGAAGTCTGTGGGCTGCTGCCACTGCTTGGTTCTCCCCCCGTGGGGCGCCCGGGGAAAACCCTCGCGCCAGCCATCACATTGCCTTGAAGCTGTGCGCACGTAGTAAAGTTGATGGGCCCCGGACTTGGGACCGAGCCGAGCTGAAACGGAAACAGGGCAGTAGCTTATGCTTCCTCGTCAAACTCATCCGAAAACTGTCTGTCCACAAAACTGCAATTCCCTCCAACAGGCTCCGAAAGCAAAGCGCTGTAAACCAAATGAAAGGCATAAATGCCGTTCCAACCATAACTGCGTGGCAGGAGCAAAAGCTCTCCACTGCTGGAGTGTACTGCAGGGGCATGCCGCATCGCACAACACGCCTCTTTTTTCCCCCAAAGCAGCAGGCCCGCAGAGCCATCACCAACAAAGTGGCTCGCATGGTTGCAGGAGCGAACAAGAATTTGCATACGTCGCCACATACTCCAAGAAACATTGCATAGTGTAGTCCATGCCTTCGGGACCCCCAGGAGGCTTCCCCACGAGAAAACGTGTTCCGTGAAAAAGTCATCCAAAACCATGGAATCCGTGAGTGAGAAATCAAGCATACCGAAAATCACGGTAATGCAGCAACATCCATGGCAAGGAAAACTACAACCCATCCCTGGGCTTGAGCCGCTCGTGGCGCTTGGCATCGACTCCTGCAAGGTTCCTTTGGGAGGGCACTGAAGCTCTAAACTCTAAACCCAAAGATCAAGCAGAACCAGGCCCCTCTACGTGTTGGCACCACAACAAGAACAGCACGATGCTCTCTTGCCTTGAAGACCTCTGCAGGCGCCGGGTGATACCAAAACATAGTAAAGACCTGAACGCGCGCATGGATTTAGGATTGGATGGACGGCTTCGCGGTTCGTTTTGCTTTTCGGGCAAGAGCCGACACATGACGAGTTCGAGGGCTTGTCCTAAGCCCCTTGGAACCTTGCATGATCAGTGCGCGTTCGAGGCTCTCCGGCTCACACAGACAGAGAGTACCTTCCGTACCATGATTTTCAATAAAAGTCCACCTCAGCCGCTTCACGATTTCCAGGCGGGCTTGAGCTTCAGGTGACTTGCGATTGTCCGGGCTGGAAAGATTTTGCCCGTCCTTACAATACTCAACACTGCACCAATCCCCGGTCTGCCGTGGGTTCTCGGCTGCTAGGGACTGTTAGGGGGGACAAGCAAACAGGGTAGAACGTTCCAGGGATGGCTAGTTATCTCAAACGAGGGACCAGTTGAACAAGAAGTTCACATGGACTCATGTAAGTAAATTTCGCAAGCTCAGGGAACAGGGAACCGGATGCTTTGAGCCTCCCTTGCGACCTTCGTAAACCTCCACTGTAAAGATCCGGGACGACGCAGAAGTCCTCGAGTCTTGTGCTGGCGAGCCATACTTTGCATCATTCGGAGAGAACCGCTTAAGATGCTGCCCAGATGACACGACATCTGCTGCTCAACTCAATCGCTTTCCTTTCTGGGATCTCCGGCCCCAGAGTTAGGCAACTGGGTACTCCAAACCCCCGGGGAGGAAAGTTTATGCACCAACTTTCAATCATCTCCAAACCCGTTTTTTTCAAGCACACATCCTTGTTTGCCACGCTTGTGGCAGAAGGGAGGGTGCATGTTACACCCGCTCCGTGAGCCCCAACGCGCAGCTCCAAGTACTGGAGCCCGTGGTGGTTGTAATATGAGTCTGCAGGAGTCTTTGCATCGAGCTTCACCTAAATCCTGCGGGCAATGCATCCCGTAAGGAATGGAGTGAAGGGCAGCAATTACAACTATGAGCTAGCCGAAGGTGAACTGATGTTTCTCGCACATGACATCCTGACAATGCCAAATGCTCACTGCTGAAAGAAACCTGCGCCGCACGGCAGCGGACATTTTGCACCTTCTCCCGAACCTCGTCCAACGCTCGGAAAATGCCGCATGTCTTAAGCCCAGGTTGCATGTACAGTACCTCAACATCCTTACTTCGGTGCTCTCGGAGTTCTCTTCGCTCAAGCCTAAAACACATGAAGCCTATCTTTTGGGCATTCCCCAAGCTCAGTTGCGTTTCTTACAAGACTTGCAGCTGCCAACAACTCCCAACTCCCCAAATGCAAGAAGTATGGGGTCGAGGGTCCGCGAGCCTGAGACACCTAGAAGACCTGGCCGTGAGCCGAAAGCCTACCAAGAGCTTCAGACGCAAGTTCGGGACAAAGCGCCACCGTGGGATCGAAACATCGTTGCTGCACCCTCTCGTACGAGGAACATCTCCCTGCAGGTTTGATCATTGATGGGGTTGCGAAGGCGATCCAGTATGGTAGTTTTGAGTACTACCACTATAGCGCGTAGTTGCAGTCGTTCATGGACTACAAGAAGCCCGTTGAAAGTGTCGGTTCTTGAAACCGTCCAGGGGCCTCCGTTGTTGAGGAATCACTCCTGGATGCTCTGAAATCCGCAGCTATACTGCTGCTTCTTGCGGTAGCCAGCGCGTCTCACAGCTCAACGGTTTCGTACCATGTGGGTAGTTGTCAAAATTATGGTCCCTAAAATAATAAGGACCCAAAAAGGGACCCTAATTTTGACAATCACCCATATGACTCTCCCCCAGTTAACTCGGAATCTCCCCAACATTATCTCGGTCAGTCGGCTTTCCTGGCACCTGCGCGACATGGCAAACTCAAGAGGTCAAAAGGCTAACGCTCGGGTGGCTCAAAGTTCTTCGAGCCCCGAGGTGTTGAAAAGCCGCCAGTGCCTCGCCTTGGAAAGCTTAAGCTTGGGTCTACCACATGGTTATTTCTACCAAACACCTTCCCAATCCTTGGTTACGGAAGGCTTTGAGGGAATTTCGGGCAATTTTGACGGCCAACTCTCCTCTTTGAGAAAACAGGCGTCGCTTCCCGCTATTCATGCATGCTGGTTGCAACTCGGTACCACACCCGTAAACCGATGATGTGCCACAAGATTAAAGGCAGCCTGCACCCAAAATCGTCATGTCAAGTGTAGCAGCTTGAAGTCAGATGAAACCGACTAAAGACTACGAGACACAACGATGTTTCGTAGCAGCGGCTTTCAGAGCAAAATCAGCAATCGCTTCGTTTGTTGCATCAGGACAACCTCTTAACTCTATGGCAAAGGAGCTGCAGACGCTTTCCCAACACCGAAGGAAATTTCTGATAGCAAAGGTCCTGCACCATCGTCATCATCTTCATGTCCTTGTTTCTTCTTCATCATCACCATCCTCATCCACGTCGTCATGATCTTAATCCTCTGCCACCCTCATGGTATATCATGGTCATACTCGCAACAACGCAACAATCACAGCTTATCGAAATGAACGGACGACAAGGAGTCAAAGATAGAATGCAGTAAGCGCAACTCGATGAATGGTGTCTACTAAATAAACAATAGCTGGCCAATAGCACACAACTGTAACAACTCTAAATTTTCAGTAGTCGGTACACATAACAAGCACACAGGACATCTTAAGAGTATGTGCACATGTAGTGACTGTCTTATGAGGAAACCGCACAGAAACGACGTGGCATCGGCGGCAGGTAAACTGCAGAAAGGTTGGAAACGAAAATCACCGGAGCAACAGATGTCGCCATTTGGGCCAAGGTGGCGGAGTCTTGTTTAAGTCTGAGCGGTCAGGCGCTCACTGTTGCCAAATGCGTCAGCAATGTGGCTTCCGAGATCAGTTGGCTTCACTTTCGAGGCTTCTTTAGTTGTACGACAGCATTCTCATCCATCCTTTGGGACCCGTGCTTCTGCAGTGATTACCGCGTTTCGGTTCTTATGATCGTTCCTTGAGAGTCTTACAGCATTGGCTTTCGGTTGACTCTTTGATCTCGCCATGTATGCTGCCAGGTGCTGACCGAGCCCATCTCATACTGACACACTTAAACGTGAACGGCACAATTCCGCAAACTCCTGCAGCCCCAACTTTGACATCAGCTGCCGGAGGGGCTTTGCCTGTCCGGCCCCTTGAACAAGGCCTTCCGTGTTTGATAATGCCAAGGGCTTCAAGAGTTTCAAGGCTTTGGGCATCTTTGGGCTCAAGCTGGGATGGATTGCCTGTTCCGGTGTGATAAGATGCGAGTGTCACGCGCAAGTTGTTTCGGGAAGCAGGCACAAAGTAGACCAGATTGCAGCAGCAACCAGCTGCTGCTTCCGTAGGCCTTTTGTTCACAGGGCCGTGTATAGTGTTCGGGCGCAACCCCTTGGAGGGAAGCGGCCCCACCTGTGCTCTGATAAAAAAACCTCGGGATTTGACGATGAGGCTGCACGGGAGTTGGTGCTGATGTGGGGCTAAATACATGGCTGAAACTCTGTAGAGATTTGGCCTTAAAGTTCTTTGCCTGGGGGCTCAAGATGCGGAACATTGCCCCAACTTCCCTGCGCCTCCTCCTACGCCGGGCGTCAGAAAGTTCCCTGGAACCTTGAGAAGCCTGGAAATCCCACATGTCAATCCTACAAATCCCAGCAGCGAGCAAGGGTTCTGGGTCCGAGCAATTAGTCAAGATATCCCCTCATGGCCCACGTATGACATTAACATGCCCGGATAGTGACATATCGGCACAGTTACGGATCCCCGAGGAACAGAATTGCTAAGCATTACCAGGCCCCAAATCTAGGATGCGGGACCATGGAATGTCTAACTAGCTGCCTCGTCGGCCCTGATGCCTATAACTGGACCCGAAGCTCAACACCTTAACATCATAGAACTCACGCCCGAATCGGCACTAGCCGTAGGGCATCTCACCTCAGAGCTCATGGACAAACAACACTGTTGAGTTCTTCAAGAGTGCAGGACTTAGAGCGACCTAGAACAAGGTTGGGAATCCGGACTCAGCTTTGATGGGGTGCTCGTGACTGAGGGTTCGTGCATGTTCCTCACCGTGAGAAGGCTCCCAATGAATCTAGGACATGCCAGCGTAGCGCATGCTAGCAAAAAGATGCGTCGGCTGTTCAAGGAAGCCGGAATTGCCGGTGGATTCTGGGGCATTGAAAAGAGTTGAAAAGAGTTCAGGAAGCATGTGCGGCAGTTCGCATGGACATTCAATTGGGAGGACGGCGTCGCCGTTGAACACCATTTACTACAGCAGAAGAGCGGACTCTAACACAGCGCACTCACGACCGTCCGAGAAGGGATTCAGTTTCCAAGCCTAGAAGTGCAGATTCCTTTCAGTTTCTGATAGGTGAACGAGCATACTGTCCACAAGTAAGCTGGGCGCTCATGTGCTGGGTGGCTCAGCTACCGCAGGCTGCATCCTCGAAGTGATCTCCGTCCAAACCAACTGAAGTCTGGTAATATCAGTCAAGGGGGTCGGCTCTGCCACCCACGTCCGAATGCATTTCTTTCAGTCTTTTAGTCTGCTGACATGCGCCTAGGGCCGAGACCCGTCCTACCTCAAAAGCGTCTTCACCATGTGGACTTAGCCAAGCGCATGCAGAGAAAACAGAATGGGAAAGACTTCTGAACCTGTAGCTGCCCAAGTGGCAAAGCAAGTCGACATCGCCCTGTGAGAGGATGGAATCCTGCGTTCGGGGTGCATGGACGTAGGCATCGGGCCCTTCGATTTAGGATCTCAGCCCTCGGAGCCTTAGCTTCAAAACCATTAGGCTATTCGGCCAGTCTCACCTGTGCATCCGGTGGGTTTTTTTCCCTCCCCGCATGGCCTGATGACCCCACTTCTTCTCGCCCGACCTGCTTTAGACAGCCATAGTACACCCGAGAATGCTGCTTGCTGCCAGTGGCAGCATTGAGGGCTCTAAAGGCTTTTGTCGTCCAACAGGAAAGATGCGAAGCACTTCAGATGTAACCTATTCTGAAGCCCGAAG